ATAATATTCCATTGTGTGTATGTACCACAGTTTGTTTATCCATTCTTCAGTTGATGGGCACTTTGGCTGTCTCCATCTTTTTGCTATTGTAAATCGTGCTGCTATGAACATTGGTGTGCATATATCTTCTCGTGTTGTGGCTCGTATTTCTTGTTGAACCAACGACTTTTTGGTTCAACCCAACATTTTGGTCCAGTGCTTATCCTACAGCGCCACACCAGGATTTGTTGAATGCCATCAAGTAAGTTCTGACTCATAGCTACCCTATATAAGGTTTCCAAGGCTTTAAATCTTTGCTGGAGCAGAAAACCTCATCTAAGTTAGTAGTGGTTATGTGCTGTGAAATTGGTTCCAACTCATAGCAATCCTACATAGGTTTTCTGAGGCTGTAAATCTTTATGGGAGCAGAAAGTCTCATCTTTCTCCCGTGGAACCACTGGTAGTTTTGAACTACTGCCCTTGAGATTAGCCCAATTCGTAACCAATTCGCTACTTTATTTTACATTTTTAAGTGAAATTTGATTTGTAAGCAGTTCATTCATTTAACTGCTCTGATAGCATAGTGGTTACGAATCAGGCTGCTAACCTCAAGGTCTGCAGTTTGAAACTACCAGCTGTTGGAACATAGATTTGGAAACCCCTGATTTGGTCAGTGTCATAGTTTGTTGTTTACTGTATAAGATGTGGACAGCAATACAGCCTTAGTTTATTCTAGAAAACACACCGCGACCTCATACTTTTCCTTCTCCTCCAGATACTACAAAGACTAATTTGGTGGCTGCATGTCCCCTGACTGTGTGACAGATCAGTGGGTGGGCATAGGACTCTTCTCTACACAGCTAGCCATGCCCAGAGCATCCCTTCCTGCTTGGATAAACAGCTGGTCTATGGATTTAAATAACTTAGCAAAACAAGGAAAGGGCAGAGTTGGCTCTGGTGTTCTGGGTTGGTTGCAAATTATGGCTGGTTGCAATTACTACTCCCCAAGTCAGAGAGCACCCTGATCCCAGCTAGACAGAACCTTTAATTTTTTTCTTTGTATCTAGAATATGTCATTCACTGGTTAACTTACTTTATATATTAAAAACAAAAACACAAAACTATTAGACCATCAGTTCTCTGCATTAGCTGCACATTGGATTCACTTGGGGAGCTTCTAAAACTACCAGGGCCTGGGGCCTGCCCCAGATGTTGAGTAATTAGCCCAGGAGCAGCTTTGGTGTAGGTGTTTCTCAGAGCCCCCCATGAAATGTTCATGCTTTGCCAGGGTTGAGAACTATTGATCCAGTCTCTTAACCTACAAAGCTATCATGGCTCATGTGTACCTGAACTTAAATTGAAGTTCTCTATTTTCATATGAACTCCCGGTGGGGCACTGTAAGATCAGCACTGGACTGCAAACCATAAGGTCGGCAGTTCTTAATCACCAGCTCGGAAACCTTATACAGGGCCGTTCTGAGTTGGAACCGACTCAATGAGACTTAGCAACAAAAACATTTTCATATAGCTTTGTGGAATTGTCATTGGGAAGTATTATGCTTTTACATTAATGAGTCCTGGTGTGATGCTATGGAATAAAGTCCTGGGCCACAAGGTCGGTTTGAACCACTAAGTCAGCCATTCAAACTCACCAGCTGCCCCATGGAAACCCTATCCAGGGTTGCTATGAGTAGGAACTGACTCGACAACACTTAACAACAACAACGTTTCTGCTTTGGGGGTTGATTTTCTTCATTCTGAAGTGTAAATGTGTTCACCGAAAGATCAGCTGGCCATGCAGAAGCCCTGGTCTAGAGGGTAGCTTCTCAGGGGATGTCAATCCTGGAGCGTACAGTGGTGCTTAGTATGTGCATGTAGGGTTGCAGTTGTGTCACCTGTAACCTCCACTCAGTGGTCCAGATTTCCATTTCTCACCGGGAGAGTATTTTAAATATACTGCAAGGGGGTGGTGGGTATGGCAATGCATTGTGATTTTCTTTGGTCTGTTTCTATTCCTTCCTCCTTTTCTTTCTGTTTACCTGCATTTTGAATCCATCTTGTGTAGGTTGTAGTATGATTTTATTTGGTGACTCCAACCCATGATGCCCCCGTGTGTGTCAGAGTAGCACTGTGCTCTATAGGGTTTTCTATAACTGCTTTATTATTATTATTATTATTATTGTTGTGAACTGAGGGATAGTTTACATGGAGGAACATCAGCTTTATACCATTGTTTCATTGCAAGGATTACAATCCTCTCCGTGCATCATCATTCAACAGTATTTACTTCCATTCCCTCTGGGGGTTTTGGGTTTTTTTTTGTTTTTTTTTTTGGTGTTTTTGTCTTTGGGGGGTTGGGGAGAGGTGTACACAGAAACATTCAGGAATATATAATAATTTAAACAACCAAAGGGCACATTCTGCAGCAAGCCTGCCAATAGCTGCTTTTCCAGAAGTGGATCTCCAGTACTTAAGGCTGTTCTGGGTGGACTTGAACCTCCAATCTTTTGGTTAGCAGCTGAGTGTGTTAACAGTTTGCATCACCCAGGGACTCTTGTAGTAAAACACATTCACTAAAATCTGTTTGACTTTGTGGACAGTCTGAAAACCATAGAAACATTTCTTTGAAAATCCTTGAACTTCAAAGTTCATTCATGAAGAATAGACAAATTTGGCTTACTGTCCTTGTTCTGATTTGAAACCTTAACCTGAGTTGGGGGGTCCTGGTGTGGCACTTTGGAATAAGCATGGGACTGCTAACCTCAAGGTCAGTGGTTCAAACCCACCAGCTGCTCCTCGGAAACCTTATACAAGGTTGCTATGAGTTAGAACTGACTCAACGGCACTAAACAGCAACCACCACCACACTGTATCAGGGTTCATTCTTCACTGTTTTCATGAATTCAAACTAAGTCCAGAGTGTTGGAATTCCCAAGATATTGGAACTAGTGTATTCATTTAAAAACAATGTTGTTTCTATTAATGTCTGTTCACTGTGAACTCCTTAAGGAAATACAGGATGATATAAAGAATTTCATATGTACCTATCCATAGATATTGCATATAATTCTCCATTCAGCGATAACCATTGTTAGCTTAGATTTAGCTTCTTTATATCTAGAAATGGATGTTATAATTATCTAATTATATATAAGTGTGTGTGTGTGTGTGTGTGTGTGTGTGTGTGTGTATATATAGTCAGGTATTCTTTGAGAGTTCCATGAAAATGCCATATTGAATGTTTTCTTATTTCAAGGGAGCTTCAAAAAGTTCATGGAAAAATTCCATTATTTTTAATTCCATGAAACTCTCTCATACTTACGCACTTAAGTATTTTATTTTCACAACTGAAATGGCATCATTTTTATGGATGCATTTTAATTGACAGTTTTTCAAAATGGTAGTATGATATCCATTTACTGTGTAAATGTTTTTGTCCTGTATCAAAATTATTTTACCAAATAGATTCTGGCTGTCGAAAAATTCTGCATATTTTTAGTTAGTATTTCCTGTGGCGCTGTGAGTTAATGCGTTGGACTGCAAAGTCAGTTTGAACTGCAAGGTCAGCGACTCAAGCACACTCGGCAGCTCCTTGGAAACCCATACAGGGTCGCTATGGGTCAGAACCAACTCAATGTCACCTACCAACAGCAAAAACCACATGAGCCCTAATGACTATCAAGCCCTGGGACTTTAAGAGAAGAGCAGAATTGTTGAGCCTAGTTAACTTGCCTCACTTCACCCACGTGACCATCTTGTCTTTATTTGGTTCCTGGACTCCCTGCAGGACCCAGAGACACAGTGCTTGCTGTTGTCTGATGGGAGCGGCTCCGCCCATCCCAACCACTTCATCATCCTCCCAGCGGAAGGTGGGAGTGCCATGCCGGCCATCAGCTTCACAGGAGCCTTGAGAATTCCAGTGAGTAAGCATGCCTGCCAATAGTTTCCAAAGTGTTCTTTGTTGTGCTTACCATGGAATTCTGACATTTGTTGACCATCAATCTTACAGAAGAAATCTTTGATACTTATGTGCCATAGACCAGGAGTGGCAAACCACTCGCTCCTCTCTGGAGTGGAGGTGACTACAGTGATGTTTTGTTTAGCTCAGACTTTGTTTAGAAAGTTTTGGATTAGTTGCCACCATTTAGAAATTCAGAAATGTTATAGACTCATTTGGCCCACATCCTTATGGCTTGTCCCCCAACTCCCTTAGGGAAGACTCAGCCTCCCCAACCTGTCCCACCCCTGAAGGTCCTGGGGTGAGAACCAGCACTGAGTTCTGTTCTATGGCCATAGGTAACCCCAGCTCTGGTCTCTTAAAGGTCCCTTAGTGCACATCCACACACACTGGGTCTGTCCATATGTGATGGCGGGGAAGAGGCATGACAGAGTGTGTACAGAGACCAAGGAAGAGTGTCAGTTGCAGTGCCAGCAGAGAGAAAACCCACAGACTTGGCTTTCTAGTTAGGTGGGAGAGAGAGGTGCAACAGCACAGGCGCTAACTGTGCCAGGCTTTCCTTCCACTAAATCCATGGGCACCCTCAGCAGAGGAGCTAAGGAGCTAGGCTGAGGGGTTTTTAAGCTGTGGTCTTCAGCAATGACTCACAGAAGACACCAGAAGGTAGGTGACGGGGTCACTGCAGAGGGTGTGGAGTGGGGGTCTAGGCCCCGCTGATGCTGGCCTGTAGGCCATGCTCAGATACATCTGGGCTCTGGCCCTGAGTACTAATAATCTTATTCCAAGAGCAACAGATATGACTCTCACCTCCAGACAAGACAGCTATATTAATGCTCCCCCTGTAAGGTGAGCATTAGATGGCTAACCGCAAGGTCAACAGCTCAAATCCACTAGCCGCTTGTTGGAAACCCAATACAGGATCACTGTGAGTTGGAATTGACTTGATGGCACTGAACAACAATAACAACTCAGGAGAAAGGGCCAAGGGAACGTGGGTCCAGAGGTCCTTCAGTTCTATGGAGAGTACAAGCCAGAATAACCCCAAACCTTCCCATAGGAGGAAATTCGAGATCTGGTCAACAAAAAGTGCTGTTTCTGCCCGGATGAACTGGGGCTCCAGGCATCAGGCAGTCATTAAGAAAGAGCTCAGATGGTGTCAAATTTCAATGCAAAACTATATTCATAAAACTATCTTCTTAGTAACAACTAGTAACCTTTTCAATGCGCCTTACAGTATGGCTACCTCAAACACTTTGCTAAATGCAGTTAGTACACACTAAGGATGCATACAAGTGAAAGATTCTCAGTGCACTTGTCCAGAATACAGGCTCTGGAGGCCTGGCCCCCGGCTAGGTATGTGCTCCAGCAGGTTTGTTAACCACAACCACACTGAGCCTCCATTTCCTCCTCTATGATCCAGGTTTGGTATTGGCTGGATGCTTCTATGTTGTTCTGAGGATTTAATAAAATCATTTCATTACAGCAGCAAGCACGGTGTGCCAGGCTTGCATTCAGCATGCAGTAAATTATACACATGCACAAGCAGACCCTTATACACAGGCACATGTACACTCACACACTCATACACTCTCATAGTCACACACAGGCATATGCTCACACTCATACAAACTCACACGTAATTCACACATCCATACTGGTACATCAGTTTTGAAAACATGAAGTTGTTTACAATGTATGTGCTCTTTGCTAGTTTGGTGGACCATATACACACACAGCATGGGGAATAGGAAAGGGGAAAGTTCATTGCCTTAGACTGACTAGATTTCCTACTCCGATTTCCCTGGTGATATCAGGACTCACCATCTCATGAGTGCCCCTTCTTACTAAAGGTAGTCACGAATGAATATAATATTTATGAGATATGAGCAAATAAATGTACATCAAACTCAGATCTTGATTTATTAATATGTGCATTAGTTTCTTTTTCCATTGTTTTCCCAGCATCCAATGATGTGGACTATGGACTTTGCCAAATGGTTGCAATGATTTATTCTGTGTGATTCAGGGTGACTGTTTAATTTGCTGTCATTTCAGTTTCAGGGGAAAATGAACTAGCCACGGACCAAAGTCTAACAAGGTGGCTGATGCTCCACCACACCCACATAAAACCCCTTGAGAAACCCCTCAGTGGCACTACTTTCAGAGTTGTAATGTGAGGCGTAATGTCCTAACAGCTCTCTGTCAGCCATCTTTGATAATATGACGTTCTTAGACTGCGAGGTACAACAGTACAGTAGCCATTCTCTTTGTGCAGAGCTGGAGGTGCTAAGAACACACCTGAAACACAGGATGCTTCAGGAGAATGTTGCATATTTAAATAAACTCTGAGCACACACCTGCTTGCTCTTTCTCTTCCAGGGTGTAATAGAGTTCTCTCTGTGTTTGCTATTTGCCAAGTTGGTCAGCTACACGTTCCTGTTTTGGCTTCCACTGTACATCACGAATGTGGGTGAGTGGCTGTTGTCACAAGCACAGATGCTGTGACTGTGATCTGAACTCCCGTTTCTCTCCTGGTTTCTGCAGTCAGGGAAAGAAAAAATAAAACAATGTGTGGTGGTGATTTGAGAGGCATACTTTGACCAAAACAGCGTGGTTAGTAGAGATGTATGGTGGTGGTTATGTGTCGTGAAGTTGTTTCCACTTCATAGCGACCCTGCATAGGGCTTCCGAGGCTATACATCTTTCTCCTGTGAAATGGCTGGTAGTTTCAAATGGGTCAGCAGTCCGTCAAACTCTTAACATAACCACTACGCTACCAGAGCTCTCTAGAGATGTATAGACAAAGAGAGAATTTGGATATGAGAGTTTTATTGAAAGGACTGGCGTGCTCCCTCCCGGCTCTGGCCTTCAGTTATGCTGAGACAGCTTGTGTTTTTCTTGGAGCTGTGTCACGGTAGTAATGAGCCAGACCAGGGCGACTGAAGCTCCAGCTAATAACGTTAATGATTTTCCTTGGAAGTTGCTTCTTCTTAGAGATGCATTGTCATTTGAGGGAGGGTGACAGTCTGTCTTATATGTCTGAAATCCAGCAGTGGCTCATGAAAGGGACTGCAACAGAAAATACTAAGAAAGCACTAATGTGCATGCCCTGTGTCGCAGGGCCACACCAAGAAATGAAAGAGGAGGGAATTATAGTACTTCAGAGAGGAGACTGCTGCGTGTGGGTGATGGAGCCATGACTGGAAGGGATGGAGAAGGTCAGGGAGACTGTTGAGGCCAGGGTCATGAGGGAGATCCAGGCTCTGGCTAATGAGACAAAGGGGAGAGAAACTTGAGAAGGTGAGAGGGTTTGTAGATACAGGCACATGTTCCAAAGAGTATCATGACGGCAAATTGAAATTGACAAGATCCTGAGGGGTGGAAGTTGAAGGGGCAGTGTGGGTACTGTCCCCTGGGGGTCTGTAGGAGGTGGCAGGCAGTGAAGAGGTCATTTTAGTGATGATGCAGAGTTGATAGAAAATGATAGGTGGACAGAAGGACTTACAGACTCACGCTCCTAGGGGTCCTGGCCACTGCTCCTTCCTTAAAAGAGAGCTGCTCATGAGCTGGGCACTTGGTAGACAAGCACAAGGGGTGACACTATTAAAACACAGGTTTTGAATTACTACCACATCCATTCTGAATGATTGATTTAAGAAAGCACATTCTGGCACATGCCATTCAAGGTATTAGGTGAGATGGGACTCGGACAACTGTTGTTAATGCTCCCGAAGACTCATTCCCCCAGCACTAGACAGTTGTACTCTCCTTCCAAGTTCAGGACTGTACCAAGTCTAGTGCGGAGAATTGTGAGGCCTCAGTTTCTGCATCTATAACATGAGACGGTTCCAGTCCCATATGGCCAGATGATCTCTGTTGTTAGAGACCTTGTAGCTCTAGAGTCATTTGAGAGTTTTAGCTGGGTTCTTTCTCACAGGTTTTACTTCTGTCTTTCTGTTACATCTAAAGTTATAGCTACCACAAAGGGCCCACAGAACCTGAAGATGGGGTAGTCATTTGACTCAACAGAATAAATCCTTGTTTTTGGTTGGAGGGTTATAGTTTTTTATCCTTTCTATTTCTACCTATAGCAGACTGTTTTGTTTTGTTTTGTTTTGTTCTAATATGAGCTGACTAATCGCTACCACTTGGTTTAAATCGTGTGCGAAAAAAAATAATCTCCTGTGTAGCTCTCCCATGCTCCGATCCCTCCCTGAGACACTGTGGGAGAGAATGCCTCACTGACTGGACTCCATTGACATTTTCTAGACCACCTGGATGCCCAGAAGGCGGGGGAGCTCTCCACCTTGTTTGATGTGGGTGGAATCTTCGGTGAGTCTGTTACCTCGCCATGTGTTCTACGTTGACACAGAATGTAGCGATGTAGTGAATACCAGTGTCCCAGGATCTCTTGGAACATGCTTCACCTCTAAGAGGGAAGTGTCCTTGAGTGAGCTGTCATGTAATCGAGTAAACTCAGTCCAACAGTGCTGTGACCATCACTTGGGGAATGCCTTCCTCTGGCTCCTCCTGGACCCTGGCTCTAAACTTGAACTCACGTTCCTTCAGACACAGGAGCCAGCCTCACAGGGAGGTGATGGATAGATGGGGATTGGAGATGGTGGAGGTGGGGGTGATGGTGGTGATGGCCTAAATCCCAGCCCCCAAGACGGCTCACATGGTCTTGCTGAGAAGAAGCCTCCCAGGTCACTCCCATTTGCCCCACAACCAAGCAGGGTCTGGGAATGGGTCAGGCACTGCAGGAGGGCTTTCTGTGGTACCAAGGGGGAAGGGGCTGGGAAATCAAGATCTTTCTCTTGGGTCCTATAATGTGTGTTCTCTTCCCCCTTGCTGGGACGGGCCCTCCCCTTTGCAGGTGGGATCCTGGCAGGCCTGGTTTCAGACCGCCTGGAGAAGAGGGCCTCCACCTGTGGCCTGATGCTGCTGCTCGCAGCCCCAACGGTAAGCCCACTGAGACCTTGAGCTGCCTGGCTTGTTCAGGCCTCTGGTGTGCCCCTGCTTTCACTGCCCCAGCCCAGCACTGGTATGCTGGGCTGGTCCACACTGGAAACCACCAAGGCTCCTTCCTCCTGGTTATTCACTGAGCGATGAGGCCATAAGGAAGTCCTGGTTCTGGTGGGGGCTCTGGAGTGAGTTGTCTTACCCTGCATAAAGCCTTGGTGGTAGAAGTTCTGGGGCTGAGCTCCCACCCTGACCAAGTCTCCTTCCAGGGCAGCCTTGTGAACTGCCCACCCAGTCCTGCTGCTGGTTTTCAGAAAGGTCCTTCATCCCAAACCCCTTATTGTCCAACCCTGCACCAATGCCTGTCTCCAACTTCCTGTTGGAGGTTACTTCTTCAGGCTTTCCCTTCCCTGTACTCCCCCTTTACATTTTGTTTTATTTGGGACCCTGGCCTGTTCCTCTAGCCTCACTATGTCAGGCCCATGAACATACTTGGCCTCTGCTTCTCTCCAGTAACCAAACAGATGAGCAGGACCAACTGCTGTAAATCCCCTCTTACTACATACCCCCTGATACTTCTGTGTCTGTCTCCTACATTCTACAGTCTCACAACTCTCAGAATGTTCTCTACCTTCTCTTATCCCTCATCTCCAAATCTCCTGAACTCTCTTTAGGATGACCTCCCCATCAAATATTTCATGGATGCTCCCTCTGGACACCCGCCCCCCTGCCCCACTGCTGCCTTTGTCTGGACCCTAGCATGTCTTGAAGCAGCTCCCGCTACCTTCCCACCAGCAAACATTCCTGCCTCCTAGCCTGAGTTCACTTTCTTAACAGGCCTCGCTCACTCTTGGCCTTGGCTTCTGGGTGCTCTTGTAGACAACTGCGGCTTGTCCTTCACCCAGCTTCACCCAGCTGCTCTGCTCCGCTCCATGGGAACCTTCTCCCCATTCCATAAGCTCCTGCTCATCCTTTATGGAGCATAGTGGTTACGAATCAGGCTGTGAACCGCAAGGTCAGCAGTTCAAAACTACCAGCTGTTCTGTGGGAGATAGATGAGACTTTCTGCTCCCGAAAGATTTACAGCCTCAGAACCCCTGTACAGGGTTGCTGTGAGTCGGAACCGACTCCACAGCACATAACCATCCTGGATATAGTGCTGTGGGCTAATGCACTGAACTGCAAATTCCTTTGAACCACAAGGTCGGTGGTTCAAGCTCACCAGCCACTCCTTGGAAAACCTATACAGGGTTGCCATGGGTCAGAAACGGCTTGACAACACTTAACAGCAACAACAACAACATCATAATACTTGAGTTTTGCAACTTTTCATGTGGACAATCTTGTGACTACTTCTAGTAAACCATTGTTTTCTCACTGTTTTCAGCTCTACATCTTCTCCACCATCAGTAAAATGGGTCTAGAGGCCACCATAGGTGAGTGCAAGCAGCAGCCAACCTTTCTGAGATGAAATATACAAAACACCAAAGAAGCATGCAGCTGGAGAGAGGGGAGTATATGGTGTGTCTGAAGTAGTCCCCTGCCCACCTTATCTGGTGGGGCCACCGCTCCCAGGCGTAAGACTTGACTGCCTCAGAGCATGCTGGGATCTAGACAGGAGCAGGGATGCATGCTGGATGTTCACAGGGAAAGGGGGCTTTCAGAGAAGCCAGAGGTAAATAGAAAGTAGTCTGTCCCCTCATAGATCCTTCCGCCCTTCCCATGCCTCCGGAACTAGGCACCTTGGCTATGGCCACCTCAGGGAGCTTGGCTGAGTTTCCCGAGGGCGCTGGTGGTGAACACTGGGCCCAGACTGGCTGTTGGACTGTGATTTCCCACTTGCCTCTCTCCTCTCAGCTGGTTGCCCTGCCTCCACTCTGGGAATGGTTGTATAACAATGAGGGACTATTTTTAACTTCCTGTCAGCGGTGCTGTCAGATGATGCTTCTGACTGTGGGTAAATATGTTTCCTTGCCTAACAAGCCAGCAGTAGGGACAAGGAGAGAAGGGGCATGTATGTAGTCACCTTACAAGGTATCTAGAAGCCAGCTGCCAGCACCATGAGGGCATGGAGTTTCCTTTAAGTTTCTCTGACTCAGAGACATCTGCGCAAAGGATGGGAGTCTGGAGGACAGTTTGGGAAAGGGACCGTGAGTTTAGAAACTAATCATGTTTGTCTTACCCATTGCCACGCATGGTCACACTGGGATCCCTTGGGGCTGTTACCAGCAGCTGTCAGAGATGAAAACGTTTTTATGCTGCAGAAGAAAAAAAGCATAAAGTTTTATGCCTTAGCCATCCCAAACCTGATGGCCCAGACGACCTACCCACCAGACTGTTCCCCTCAGCATGCTGACAGCTGCCATCCTGGAGGACCAGTAAGCTGTGTACCTGCTGGAGCCATAGCCTAAATCTTTAGGAATGTGTGATTGACTTACAGACATTAGCGATAGGCAAGTTGTTAAGGAAACAGGTGTGATGCACGCAGGCTTCATGCACACCCCAGGGAATTATCACCCCCTGGGGACTTACTTTTCCACCTTCTGCAGGTCAGGTAAGCAGGTTCACCACAAGGTAGCCAGGAATGCAACTCAAAGTGCACAGTGCCAAGAGTCCACCCAGAGGGTTTCTAAGATCATGCAGACTTCCAGAGGAAACTTTCTGTTGGCTGAACCTCCCTTCTGGTTTCCACAGCGATGTTGCTGCTCAGTGGGGTCCTCGTCAGTGGGCCGTACGCCCTGATCACCACCGCCGTCTCTGCAGACCTGGTGAGTAGGCCGCAGGCCCCAGCATGAGCTGTGAAGCGGAACACTGGCCACAGTAGTCACCTTGTCCACTCTTTGGCAAAGAGGCCCAGCATTAGTGAAGCACTGTGTTTTTTTCCCTATACCTGTATCTAAGTTCTAAAGAGTTTTCTGAAGGAAATAAAAGAAGGCAGCAGCTTCTGCTCTGCAGACAAAGAGGCTGACATGAGGCCACGTAGGCAGGCTGTGGGCCCTGGGTCTGAAGCCCATAATTGGGCTTGCTCCTTGGCTGCCTTTGCTAACTGGTAGGCCCTGGCTCAGTCCTGGAGGCGGTGACCTTCTGCCCACTTCGGTGCTGAGCCCACAGCTGGTCTGTGGAATGGCAGAGATGAGGAACTCGGTATCTTCTCTGGGAAGACCACAGCCCGGGGAAGAAGTGGTCAATGCACAGAGTAGTGAACACTGTAATACCAGAACCCCTCAGTGCTTTGAGATCCAAAGGAACCACTGACTAATTCTTCTGGTGGGAGAAAGAGCAGGGGGAGGGGTCTTATCCTGGCAAGGTAGCATTTATGCCCAGTTGTAGAGACCCCCAGGAGCCCTGGTTTGGTGCTGAATGCTAATCATGAGTTTGATAGTTCAAACCTACCAGCTGCTCTTTGGAAACGCTACACAGGGTTGCTATGAGTTGGAACCAACTCATTGGCACTTCACAACAACAATGCAGAGAACCCAGGGCCGTGTGATAGCTCTGTAGGATAACCACTGGACTGTGAACCACAAAGTCAGTGGTTATAGCCCACTAGCCTCTCCTCAGGAGAAGGATGAGGCTTTCTGCTCCTGTGAAGATTTGCATACAGCCTTGGAAACCATACACAGGGTCACTATGAGTTGGAGTTGACTGAACAGCATTTAACAACAACAACATAGAGACAGCCCCCGCCCTCCCAAACGAAGCAGAGGCACCCTTATCTCCCTGATGTCATGATCACAGGTCAGCAGCAACAGTGATAAGTCATCTTAAGAAGATGGACCCTATTTTGTTTGTTATGATGAGAGAGCTTGTTACCTCTGTGGTCCTCCTTCCTCAAATCAGTGTAATTATGAGAAAAACATCAGACCAGCCCCAATTGAGGGAGAATTTATAAAACACTAAGCGGCTTTAAAACATTAGTGGGAAAACTCTATGATTCTAATTCCGTTTGTCCACGAACTCTTCGAAGCCCCCTCATACATGGTCAGAAATCCTGGAAGCACACAAAGGGGAGTCTGAGAAACCATCACAGCCTAGAGGAATTATCACCTGAGGAGACATGATGACTAAGTGTAATGTGGTGTCCTGGGTGGATCTGGTTGTTGTTGCTGTTAAATGGGGACAACTAAAGAAATTCAAATAAAGTTTGGATTTTTGTTAATGATAATGTACCAATATTGCTTCATTAACTACAACAAATATAGAAAAGCAATGTATATAACAACAGGAAAATGGGCACACAAGATGCATATTTTTCTGTAAATCTAAAACTATTCTAAAATTCAAAAGGAGTTCCCTAAAGAGGTCTTGTAGATTCTTGGGCAGGAGGCAGGGACTTGTAGACCATCAGTTTGGCACCTCCCTCCATTCCTGTGTCCCCTCTCAGTGATCCTGCTATAATCCTGGTCACCTCATCTCCTCCACTTCTCTAAAGCCCTTTGTAATATCTTACTCAGGTGCAGGACCTCCAAGCTCTGGAATCCCACTCATTGTTCTGCTCAGACCCACAATAGCCCATCCCTCTGTAGTCTTGCTGAACCTGTCCCATTAGTCAATCTCCCTAAGAGTTACAGGTCGTCTGGCCCAAGAAACTCAACCCCATTTAGAGCAACAAAAGGCTCTCATGTGCCACTCTGGGCATCTCAGATTTTCATTCCTGAGAAAGCCAGACGCTCGTGTCCTGGACAGCCTGAGAAGAGGTCATTGCGGAGGCCCAGGGAAGTCCAGCCCCTTTCATACCCTTCCTCCCCACCACATCAGTGAGTGACCCAAAGCAGCAGGTCTAGCCCTGCCTTGGCTACCTGTTTGCTTGGAATATACCTTTGTGAAGTGTCACCTTGGGTATATATTAGTTAATTCTAGAAGGATTCATACCAGACCATTAACAAATCCATCCTTTTGGGATTAGAGAGCAGAGGGAGTTTCATTATTTTTGTAGATTCCAAAAAACGTTAAGACCCTGAGTTTTGTGTATGTATGTATACTTTTCCTCATTTTATATCATGTATGTTTGTACACATGCACCTGTATACACACATACAAGCCTTTGGGTTTTTTGGATTTTTTTTTTCTTTCTTTCTTTCTTTCTTCATTCCTTTTATTGTCCTCTGTGCAATTTTTTTTTTTTTAACCTTTTATGTATGGTGTTTTTAAAAACTGGAGTTTCCACTGGTTCATCATGTAGGACTTGCACTCTTACGGTGGTTTCCTGGGTTCTCTTCCTACCCTTCCCTGGCTTTTGCTGTTAATCTGGGTGAGTTTTAGACACTGCAGAGATACCAACATGTTTCACGGCTCAGGAATTCAGCAGTCAGGTGGAAGAGGACACCAATGCCAGGGGACATTAGGGACAGGGAACATGTATCTTCTTTTTATGTCTATGTTCCCCAACGAGGAGTAGGGCTGTGCTGAGTAAATATTGCTTTATTTGAAGACAATTCTAAGAGTTCCATTAACTGGAATACACTTGGACAAATATTTCTGATGGTTTTTTCACTATTAAAAACTACAGAAACATTATCTTTTGTCTTAGTTCTCTAGTGCTGCTATAACAGAAATACCACAAGTGGATGGCTTTGAGCACCAACAATTTATTATCCCCCAGTCTAGGAGGCTAAAGTCCAAGTTCAGAGTGCCAGCTCTAGGGGTAGGGTAGTCTTTGTCTTTGTTAGTTCTGGAGAAAGATCCTTGCTTTTAGCACCTGTAGGCCTAGCATTCCTTGGAGATCTCCATGTGTCTTTGCATCAATCTATGCCTGGATCTAGGAGCTTCACAATGCAGAGACCTCAGGTCCAAAAAACACACTGCACTCCCGGCTCTCCTGTCTTGGTGGTGGTAGTTCCCTCTGAGCTCAGCTCACTTCTCTCTCCTTTTATATCTCGAAAGAGATTGATTCAAGATACAACCTCATCCTGTAGATTACATCTGACCTCATTCACATCATAGAAGTGAGGATTTACAACACAGAGGCTAATTACACCAGATCACATCCTGGGGGAGGTGATGCCACCTCACAGGGAAGGTGGTGTTACATCTCATCATGGGGAATTATTACCTCTTAACTACAGAACCACCGAGAATCCCGGTCTAGCCAAGTTGACACAAAACCTTAGCTATCACATTTTTCCTAGGCAAGTTTGGGGCAGAGTAGAATTGAAATTTTTTAATGGAAACTATCCCATGTGCTAAATTGTTTTGCTAAGTTATTCAAGTATTGTCATTGTAGTGTGGAAGGTTAGACGTTATTTCTCACCTCTGATACTACTGAGATGGCCTACCCATTGTTTTCCTTCTAGGGGACACATAAAAGTCTGAAAGGAAACGCCCATGCCCTTGCCACCGTGACTGCCATCATCGATGGAACCGGGTCTGTAGGTATGTGGAGAATTTTAAGAGGTTGACTATTGACCTGGGAAGCCACATTATCTCATCCTAATGAACAGATGTCCAGGATTCCAATTTCCTTGGTAATACTTGAATCGGCTGGCCCAAGAGCACGAGCAAACCAGTGTCAGCAAGCCCAGTGGAAGTCAACTTGTGAGGAGAGTGTCAGTTTAGTAGGGTGATTCAGAGAGGTGTGGATGTTTCTGATTGAGGCTAGTTTTCTTCAGCATGTAAGAAGGGATGTCAGGTTTTAATTTAAATCACAGATTTTCAAACTACAGCCTATGGGTTAAATTTAGCCCATTTCCAGAAGGACAGAGTCTTAATTAAATTGCAATTACAGGAAGACTAATGATCTGGAAGCATACGAAATTCCGAGTGTTACCAGCTTCATTAAGATTTTTGAAGAACATTCAGTAACATCTTCTAGAGTAAAGAAAGGTAGTGAAATAATCAACTCATCTCCTCAGCAAATGAGCAGGTGGGAATTGGTAAGCAAAACAAACAGCAGGCCTATTTTCATCAACAAGTCAGCAAGCATGTTAGGGAGCGTGAACCCTGTGGGCCCTCTTTGCTGAGATTCCGAGAACTGCCCTGGGCTGGGCCCTCATGTCCTTCAGCGTGCCGGCTGTCACCCCCTTTGTATGGAAGTTGAAACTTCCGGAGGTCTCCTAATGCAGCCTTACCCCCAGCTGGTCAGGAAGGGTCCGGGATTGGAACTGACACATCTGCTGCTCCAGATCCAAAACCCAGTGGGAAGAGTGAGGGGGGACAGGTGCAATCTGCTTGTACCCTCATAGCAGTGAAACAAAAGATCTTGTTGGACAAAGGCAGTGCCAGGAGACCTCCTTGGGAGTCAGCAAAAACAGTGCATCAGAGTCTGGGAGTCCGGGATGTAGGACTGGCATTCTGCTCAGTGTAGGAAGCAGGTTTTTCTCTGGGTTGTTCCCACAGCCCTTTATGCCAACTAGACAGAAAACACTTACAGTACATTTCTCTGACACCTGCTGCTCTGTGACTAATGCAGAATTCAGACTCCTCTCCACTAGTCACTGTTTCTCATTCTGCAGCCACACGGCCTCCCTGCTGCTCCCAAGAGTCCCAGCTGTAGCCCCAGTGCAGACCCTCTACACGGCTATGCCCTGTGCCCCAGACACTCTTCTCTCAAGGGGACCCAGGCCTCACTCCCTTTGTCACTGAAGTCTTGACCCTCTCAGACCCCCTCTTTAGACTTTGTAAATCCTTCTTCTCCCATACTCAAGGCCTCTTCTCCTAGTCTGTTGTTCTCCACAGCACTTAGTACCTTTGCAAATATATCATGAACTTATTTGCTAAGTATTTGTCTTGCCTCTTTCCACTTCAGTGGATGGTCTATGGAGACAGGAGTTATGTTTGTTTTACTGGTTGCTGTATTCCCAGTATTGAAACGGTGCCTAAAGCATAGTTGTTGTTGTTAGTTGCCATCTCTGACTCATGGTGAACAAGGTGTTGCCGTTTTCATAACGGTTGTTGTGTTTGAGTTCTAGCTGTTGTGTCAACTCATTTCACTGACAGTGTCCATTATTGTCACTGACCCTCTACATTACCAAACAGTAATTGGTTTTTCCTAATGAACTGTCCAAAGTAGGAGAACCAAAGTCTCACCATCCTACCTTCTTAGAAACATTCTGGTTGTATTAGTTCTAAGACAAGTGTTCATTTTTCTAAAAGCAGAGGTATAGTCAATATTCTTCATCAACACCACAGTTCGAAGACATCATCTCTTCTTTTGTCTCCCTTTTTCATTATCCAGATTTTACATGCATATGAGATGATTGAAAATACCATGACTTTTAGTCATCAAAAAGACAGTTTTTCTTTTTAAAACTTTAAAGAGGTCTTTTGCAGCAGATTTGCCCCATGCAGTATGTTGTTGGGGCTCTTGACTACAGCATCTATGGGCATAGGTTGTTGATGTAAGCAGGTTGAAATTCTTGACAATTTCAGTTTCCCCCCCTTTGTCATATCAGTTCACATGTGAGGATGTTTTTTTTCTTCTTCATATGCTGTGTCTAATCTGTAGTCTTCCATCTTGATCAGTAAGTACTTCAAACTCATCTTCGTTTTTGGTCAGCAAGGCATATCATATGTATATCTCAGGTAGGTAAAGAGTCTGACTCTAATCATGATGCCACAGTTTTCATATTTTTTATAATTGGTTCAGAATATTATTTTAGCATACAAATTGAATATGTAAATGGACATAGTAGGCCCTCAATAAATGAATGTTAACTCTAATCTTGATGCCACAGTTTTCATATTTTTTTATAATTGGTTCAGAATATTATTTTAGCATACAAATTGAATATGTAAATAGACATAGTAGGCCCTCAATAAATGAATGTTAATGAACTGATCTGCAGATTTAAGACACCTAGAATTGAAGATAGGGCCAGGAGGGTTCCTGTCCAGGCTGTTGAATTCACAGAGTAAGGGCCAAGCCAAAGAAACCCAGGGGCCTTCCCTCAGCCCGCATGCTCACCAGGATAGGGCCAGACCCCTGCTCCTGCTGACATTTCCAGAGACATCAGAAGTTTGCCATACATGAGAGTTGCTGCCTGTTCTGGGAAGGACTGGGCAGTTTCATGGTGAAGGCTATCTCCTGTGGTTCAGAAAGGAGTGCACAGTTGTTCAGAAGGCCCAGCTTTAGCTTCTGGGGTTACCAAAATAATACCATTTTTTATTCTCAGTACTGGTTCCTTCATCTTGCTGTGTCCAGAAATGACTTTGAATTGTTGGACAATTTTAGTGGTCATCCCTCTGGATGTTTCAAGAGAGGCCATTCCCTTATGGACACCTCTAGGTGCCTGGGAATGTGTCTTGAACAAAAGATGAAGGGATGCTGGTGTTGTGCCTCGCGAGGGTCTCTGTGGAGTGGCACAGCACCCCGCGGCCCTCTGGCTCAGGCAACCCACCAAGCACTGCATGATTTGTAGGACACACCCGCTGGGCATCAGGAGACGCCTGGGCTGCGCATGGTTCTAATTAACTGTGTGACTTTGAACAACCTTCTCTCCGCCTTCTGCCAACAGAGGTCTTTGTCTGTGAATCAGTCCAACTCCCACTGTGAAACCCTTTTAGGGAAGCTAATTTGGAGCTCAGCTGGCAGCCCTGATTGCTATTTTAAAGCAGAGGATGAGAGTAAAACAAGGGAAATTATGAATTAGGTGAAAAACACATTTTTCTCAAGATGACAGGGAAGCGGAAGGATATGACTGAGGGAGGAAGCCTTGCATTTATCTGTAAATGAAGGGAGATCCACTGCCCAGGGAGCTGTAGCTCAGAGACCAAGAGCACAATTGAGGATGGCTTTTTAGCCTCCTAGAAAGATGGCAGGATGAAATTGGGGCACCTTTTCATTTATCTGTGCAAAATACTGACCCTCCCAAGGTCACGACACCCAACTTGACTTCTGCAGAACTTAAGCTCAGGGTTCTGAGTAGGGGGGCTTACTCCTGCAGACACTTCCTGCCTGCTGGTGCCTGCTAGAGCACACAGAGTGTTGAGTAATGATTGCCATGGAAACAGCACTGTGCTGCTGCGGTCATGATGTCTTTCCAGAAATGCTGTCCTACGAGACAGAAGCAAGGAGACCTGTAAATGGAAAAGTGCATCATTTCAGGGAAGGGGGGAAATCTGCTCATAACGGCATTTGTTCCAGTGTATTAAGTGTTGGAAATATCCATTAGTTGGTATTTCTTTAGGGAGCAAAGCTTGACTAGTTCTCAATAAGTTGGTGCCTTCTCAAAAATCACCAAAGTGCCATCTGTCTCAGTCACACATCTTATCTGTTTGGTGCATTTACAGTGCTTTGAATTGCATTCTGATGTGAGGCCAAGCTTGCCATTTCTATATGTCTTATGAAGAGAAAATCAAATTAAATTGAAAGTTTTAAAGTTTATTCTTATTTTATCAAAGTGAAAAATACAAGTACGTGTAGCTTGAGAAGCCAGATAGTTTCCCAGGCTTTATTCTAATGAAATGTCAACCGTCTACCCCATGCTCCCCAAACACTGTCTTTCTGGAAGCAAGTTACTTTCACCTGTTTCTTCTTCTGGTTTGTTGTTGTTAAGCGTCATCAAGTCAGTTCGGACTCATAACGACCCTGTAGAGGGTTCCCAAGGAGTGGCTGGTGGGCTTGAACTACCAACCTTGTGGTCAGCGGTCAAGTGCTTATCCTACAGCGCCACACCAGGATTCCTCTTCCAGAATTACCTACATATTTACATATTTCTCAGTTCATCCATTTTGGGGATTATCTACTGCCCTCTTATGAAGGAAGATAGAGACTTAGCTCTTTTTAACCCTCTCAACTTCCCTTCTCCACATCCTCATCCATTATACTGGCCATGTTAGTACTGTTAACTCTGGAGCCATGAGACAAACCTTAATTATATACCCTCTAGCTGTGCATAAGGTCACTATGGGTCGGTACCAACTCAATGGCACCTAATAACAACAAGAGACACATTATTGTTCCAGTTTCTGTCACCATTGTTCTGCTATCTCCAACATCACTGTCAGATTTTCTCTCCTTCCCTCCTTACACACCACCCCCTCCTGTCAGGGACCTCCACAGCCACCTGCTGTACTGCTCTTGTTAAGGACTTTCTTTCCCCACCAGCCTTCCAGTGCTTTTCCTGTCTTTCTTACATTGGACCCCTGTTTATTGGGTTCCATATTTATTCCTCCTCTGTGGTGGAAAACCTCTTCTAGTAGCTTCTATGTAGTAGTTCACAAGAGGTAAATGTTGAGATCTAATAAGCTTGTCACATGTCTGTTGGTTCTCTCACTTAATGAAGTTTATGTGGATATAGAATCCTACCTTGAAAATCCTCTTCCATATGGATTCCAATGACTTCTAACTTCCATTGCCACCATTGAGCAGTCCATTGTAATTCTTACCCCAGTCCTTCAGGTGTGACTTTTTTCCTCTCATAAATCATTTAGTATCATTTCTTAATTTCTGGAGTCTTTTCATCATTTGTACTATGGGAACCTAGTGGGCCTACTGAGTATGGAAGTACATGCCCCTCATTTCTGGGAAACCACCCTCTATTGTTTCTGTGATAAGTTTTCCCTACCAATTTCTGTGTTTTCTCCCTGGAAAACTTATCAGTCAAATGTTTGACTTTCTGGGTTAATCCTTCAATTTTCTTTCTTTCTTTCTTTTCTTTTCTTTTTTTTTCTTTCCCTCTTTCATGTCCATCTTTTTATTCTTTTCTTCTACTTCTGCATAGATTTTCATGATTTTATTTTCCATGCTTTGGAAAACTTTGCATTTTGGCTGTATTTTTTTTAAAGGCTCATTAATATTTTTCTGCCCTTTTAGTGCATCCTGTTCTTATTAGATGTAGTATGTGTTGAATCATACAGCACTGTCAATATTGAACTGGTTTTCAGCTACAAAAATGGGAGTTTCATATAGTTTAACCTAATTTTCTACTGCCTTTCTGAGGGCATTATAATTTCCTCAGAAATTTTCTTCTCCTTGATTTGTCTTGCCCTTGTAGGTTCTCTCTCCCTCAGTTTGTTTGCTTCTAAGTTGGAGCTTTCCTAAGACACAAGGTGAATTTTGACCATCTATTATATTTTTATCTTCAAGAATGAGCCACTAAACACTTTGAGAAGTCTTTTCTTCATGGGAGAGCATGCCATCTGCTGGTCTTCACAGAAGTGAATTCCATTGTAATGCCTGGGAGCATGTGCCCCAGCATTCTTGTCATTGTGTGGGCATGTAGGCAGGCTGCGTGGTGCTGGCTGGTATCTTTTCCTTGAAGCTCCTATTCTCAGTCAAGTGCCTCACATCTGCCCTGCATTGCGCTTAGAATCCCTGAGCTTAGAGCCAGCTGGTTCAGATTCTCCTGAGAGGCTCAGGGTGGTGGAGTCACTAGATTAGTGAGGAGAAACCTGGGGGTGGGGAGAATAGAGGGGTGGGTTGAGGGACCACATCTAAGATTCAACTAACCTCCCCTTTTTCTGCCATTCACCTTTGCTCTGCCTCATGTGATTTGGTGGCCCTGGATTTAAGTGAGGAGTCGTTGCATTACTTCCATCTAAGGACACTTAATAGAGCATGGAAAACTAACCTCTATGCCCCAGAACCCGTGCCTTCTCTCATCTGCTCTTCACTTTGTGGGCTTTATAATATTTGAAATTCCATTTATGGTATATTTCATGGTGTTTGGGGAGGTATAGAGAGCAACACACATGAGCAATCTACCATGTTTACCCAACAGCTCTTCTGAGGCTTAAAACACACACGGTTGTTTTTAAAAACAATTATTAAAGCAGTGGATGCTCTTTGTAAAACCGTGAAATAAAACACAACCAGTATGTATAAAGTGTGAATGACCCTAATAATATAATGTCCCAGAGATTAAATCTCACTTAATAATTCAGTATCAATTCTTCCTTCACACTTTTTTCCACACATCTACCAAAACAATAAGCCATCTACAAATGTATCAGAATTTCTTTATTCCAATCCCTACTAGGAAAATAAATAACACAACTGCTGAAATTTACTTTCTTATAAAGCTATCTTTGGGGATTTTTCTGAATATTTTATTTCTTTTGTTAGTCTGATATAATTTCATACTTCCAGAGAAGTTGTAAAAGTCATACAAGGAATCCACAGAATTCCAACATAAAAAGTATTCATTCTTCACCTTTCTCATCCTCCCTTTTCCCTTCCCTCCCTCCCGCCTCCCTGTCCCTCATATATTTGTACATACACATGTATGTATACTTATGCATACACACACACATATTTTTTTCTGCATTGCTTAAAGTAAAATGCATACATGCTGCCCCTTGCCCTGAACTATTTCAGTATCTAATTCCTAAAAATAAGAAGTTATCTGATCTAGCCACAATACAATAATCAGAATGAGGAAATTAATATAGTATTAGTATCTACAGACCTTATTCAAATTTTATCCAATAGTATTTTTTTTAACTTTTTATTGCGAATTGAGTGAAGGTTTACAGATAAGAGCATCAGTTTTACTTTCAACAGATAATACACTTTGTTTTATCTCAATGACTGCAATCCCTCCTTGTAACAACAGTTATCCTGCTTCCTCCTTGGGGCTCCCCCATCTCCATTCCACCCACCTTCCCATCCCGTCTCACATTTGTCCTCAGGTACATGTTGCCCCTTTGATTTTGAATGATGAACTGTTTCGTCATTCATAGTGAGCATACCTCACTAGTGTTGTTGCTCCCCCTATATACTTCTATACTGATTGGCTGAAAGTTGGGTCACGAGGATGAGCTCCTTGCCAGACCTGAAGGGTGATTGAGGGCCATAGTCTCAGGTTCCTCCCAGTCTCTTTCCAACCAGTCAGCCCATTCTTTTTTTAAAAAAAATATTTTTGAGTTTTGTTTCACATGTTCTGCCGCTCTTTCTGGAATTCCTTTCAGAGCAGTTGGTAGTAGTAGCCAGGCACTGTGTCGTTTTTCTGGTCTCAGGGTCATGGAGACTGATGTTCTCATGTTCCCATTAGTGCTTTGGTATAATTGATTCCAAGCATCTTCAGTTCCTATCATTCTTCTTTCCTCCGCACATGGAGAGACCAATAGTTGCACCTTAGGTGGCCGCTCATGAGCTTTTAATATCCCAGACATGACTCAGCAAAGTAGGATGTAGAATTGTCTTTGTGGATATGTTATGCCAGTTGACTATGGTGTCCCCTGAGACTATGGTCCTGAGTCCTCGGGCTGAGCTACTCATTACCTTAGGATGTTTGATAATATCTAAGAAGTTTTTTCATCATTTTGCCTGCTGTATACTCTATCACATTCACAGCTGTATTTTCAGGAAAAGTTAATACTCATATACCAATATCCTATTTGAAACTCTTATGTATCTTTGGGTTATATAAATATATACTTATTCTGGTCTTCCTTCCATACCTATTCAGCATGCATCTCTGTCCTTATATCTACCCACAGAACATCATGGGTAGATATAAGGCTATATATATATATAACTATTTACCGCTATCCCCTTTAGCCCTTGGATACCTCTCTGTGTCTTCATCAGTATTCTGCCAATGTCCTTCTTCTTGTAGTATGTTGCTGTTGTTGTTAACTGCCTTTGAGTCAGTTCTTACTCATAGTAACCCTGTATAGGGTTTCCAAGGAGCGGCTAGTGGGCTTAAACCGCTGACCCTGTGGTTAGCAGTCTAGTGCTTATCCTACAGTGCCACATCAGGACTCCAGAACATACACAACTGTGCATTGGAGTCAGAAACCATTTTTTAATCATTTAAAAATTAATAAGTTCATTAAATCAGAAGAATGTACATTTTTTAAATGTCATATATTACAACATTTTTAGATTTGATTCCAGAAAATTGTAGAGTTGGTTCCAGAAATTGGTTGGACCACTTGTACCTTCGCTAGTACCAAACGTTTTTCAACTTTTAACCCTTACCTATCTGATAGTTGGTATTTCATTTTTCCAATATGTTTTTCTTTCATTCTGAATGAGGATTTTAAACATCATGTGCCAAAGTTTTCCTTCAACAGGCCATGCATGTCTGTTTTTGACATTTCAGGAGCAGCTCTGGGCCCTTTGCTGGCTGGACTCATCTCTCCTTCTGGATGGAACAATGTATTTTACATGTTGATGTTCGCAGATGCCTGTGCCTTATTGGTAAGTCATCTTATTTTTGATCCAAACAACACTCAAGGAATATCTCTACGCATAGTTAGCCAAACACTCCTGTGGACTCTTTCCTTTTTTTCTGATGACGCATCCCAACAGATGGTCTTTCCCTAAATATTCATGGTTGAAGACCCTTTATCTGGTTTTAAAGAAAAAAAAAGTTGAGAACAGATTGTAGGTCAGTCTGTTGCTCTGTAGATGCTAAGAGTATGGAGCTCCCTGAAGTAGACCTCCCAGATCCTGATTGTATATGTGCAAATTCAGCATCTTATCTGAATTCTTTGTTCTGAAGCTTCTACATTTTTAAAATGAGTATGAGAAAGGTATCCAACAACAGGATTCTTGTGGGAATTAAAGGAGAAGATGCACAGTGCCTGGCCACATCAGGGCTAGCCTTGGCTATTCTAGTGCCCTTCCTTCCTCTGAGTCCTCACACTGGAAGAGCAACCTGACTTCCTGTCACCCAAAGGGGCATATAGAGGGGAAGAGAAGCAAAGAGGCTATTAATGTGGGCACTGAGCTGTCTCAGGTTCCACCTCTCACCTTTCTGACTTGAAAAGACTCAAGAGTCCCTTTAGGATGGAGAAGACCGGTGATGTTTGACCATCACACAGGCGTGTACATCTCAGGGTAACTAGGGTATACTCATCTTTACATGTCATTTTGCTGCACTGCATCCCCAAACTTTAAAACTGTGCCTCTCTTCTTGCTTAGCCAGAAAAAAAAAGCTGAGATTGATCCTAACACAAATGGTGATAGAAGTATCAATCCTATCAATGAAATAAAAATTTTCTCTCTTAATTTCAGGGATCCCTAAAACACCACTCCCCCACTGCATACAAAATTAAATGCCATATCTCAATTTTATAACCCTACTAAGTTTTAAAAGGCTTTTCTTCAGACCACTTATTTGTTAAATGCCTGAGGGTTGTAGTTACAGCCCCAGAGATAATTCCACGGTTGTTGCTGAGTGCTGTCAAGCGGGTTCTAACTCATAGTGACCTGTACAGGTTTCCGAGGAGCAGCTGGTGGGTTTGAACTGCCAACTCTGTTGTTTGAAGTCCAGTGCTGATCCTACAGTGCCATGCCAGAAGTCCACTGGTTGTTTGTTGTTGTTGTTAAGTGCCATCGAGTTGGTTCCAACCCATAGGGTTTCCAAGGAGCAGCTGGTGAGCTTGAACCACCGACCATGTGGTTCAAACCAACTTTGCAGTCCAGTGCATTAACCCACAGTGCCACTTTAGAGTCCCTGAAAATTCTACTTTAGAAATTATTGTTGTTAAGTGTTATCAAGTCAGTTCTGACTCATAGCGAACCTGTATAGGGTTTCCAAGGAGTGGCTGGTATATTTGAACTGCTGACCTTGCAGTCAAATGCACTTACTATCCAGTGCATTATCTTACAGCATCAAACCAGGACTCCACTTCAGATATCTGGGTAATATATATTAAAAATCTTTTTAAATGCATAGCTGAACTCTTAGAAGAAAATAAGGAAATCTGCAAAAATGTAGAGATCACATAAAACTAGTTCACAGGTTGATGGCAGAGCATCTCTGGGCTGAGTTACCAACCTAAAGAATCTAGGGCTGGAGTGGCCATGTCCACAGGGAATAAGAGATGAGGTGTCGGTCAAGCTGGCACATGACGGAGAGTTGGAACTGGAGCCAGAACCCTCAAAGGCTGTGCTTGTAGTATAAGGGTAACTAGACAATGTCTGCACACTGGCACAGGAAAACAATAAGAATGTGTGCCCAGCCTGGTCACCAGATGTGGGAAAATATCCACTGGTGATTCGGATTTGCCCACAGTTAGCTTTAAATTTTGAATTTATATTACCGAAATGGAAAAAAAAAAAGAATAAAATTGGTCTTGGGATAGTGGTTGATATACTGGTTTGTAAGCAGAAGCAAATCCCAAACCATTTGAGAGAACCCAGGGCTCTCGTAACTACCATGCTTCTGAGACTGAATTCACAAATTCAGACTTCTGAAATCTGAGGAGACAGTCCACTCTGAAAGGGTGTTATTGGGCATAGCAAACAACATAAAAATCAGATAAACTGTAAAAATAAATTTATTTACCATTCTTAAAGACATCAATCGAAGAACTGAACTCATGGGCAAAGAAAAAACACACACCATAAGATGAAGAAAACATACAATAAATTTGCAAAAGAACCCAATAGAAGCCCCAGAAATGAAAAATGTTGTTAGCAGAAAACTCTTCAATGGATGGGTTTATAAAGCAAATTAGGTAGATAATTACTGAAGTAGACTGTTGTTGTTTTTAAGTGCCATCGAGTCAGTTCTGTCTCATAGCAGTCCTGTATGGGGTTTCTGAGACTTTTAAACCTTTGTGGGAACAGAAAATCTCATCTTCTGAGGAGTTGGGTGGGATCAAATTGCCAGCCTTGCGGTTCACAGTCTAGTAGATATAAGAAAATTATCTAGAATGTAGCACCAAAAGATGAGATACAAAATATTAACAAGAGATTAAATATTAGCTGGAGGACCCAATGAAGTGACCCAGTGTCCGGTAACACATTGTTTTCTTCCTCTTTTCCATTTCTCTTAATGATCTGCTTTCTATCATTATAGACTTCCAGTTAATGTTGATAAGGGACCAGCTCAGACTCACCAAACGTGTAGTAGTAGTGGAAGCTAGAGTTTCAAATTCACAATGATCCAATTATTTAATAATAATAAATTTTAGGTCCTATATTCTGTTGCAAGTAAAGTTTTACTAAAGGTAACACAGACACAACTGCAGGATTACATTGACAGAGAACTTCCAGAGGTTCAAGCTGGATTCAGAAGAGGCCATGGAACGAGGGATATCATTGCTGATGTCCGATGGATCTTGGCTGAAAGCAGATAATACCAGAAAGATGTTTACCTGTGCTTTATTGACTATGCAAAGGTTTTTGATTGTGTGGATCATGACAAGCTATGGACAACATTGCAAAGTATGAGTATTCTGGAGCACTTAATTGTGCTCGTGAGGAATCTGTACATGGACCAAGAGACATTTGTTCGAAGACAACATGGGAACACTGAATGGTTTAAAATTAAGAAAGGTGTGCGACAAGGTTGTATTCTTTCACCACACTTATTCAACCTGTATGCTGAGCAAATAATCC